GACGGGCCCCTCTCGGACCCCATCCAGGTCAAGACGCAGCAGGGAGGTGAGACGTGGGAACGTTAGGATTCGGGGCTACAGCAACCAGGAGCGCGGGGCTATAGCATGCAGTGACCGTGCCCAGCATCTGTCTGGTTGCTCCTTGGAAGCTGCGAAGCAATTTATGCATCCCACCTGTGCTTTAAGATATCTTCATGCTAGTGTTGAAAATCAGGGAGTTGTCCCAGAAAGTCCAAATTTTTGGCTTCCCTTGGAAAATTCGACATGGCAAGCCACTGGGGCAGCGATCGCACGTCCAGATGGATCCCAGTGGCTGTGTTTGAGACAAGGGTGTGGTGTCCTCGCACCTTCCCGTTCTCTGTTTAATCCCTGCCCCCGTCGGTGTTTGAGTCTGAGAACCCCGATCTGCTGCTGCCTCTTGAGAGAGCGGTGCTGCCTCTTGAGAGAGTGGTGCTGCCTCATTTGAAATACAGGTTGAGCATCCCTAACCCGAAAATCTCAAATCCAACATGCTCCAAGATCTGAAAATTTTTGAGCGCCGACAGGACACTCAAATAAATGCTCCTTAGAACATTTCAGATTTCAGATTTTCAGATTAGGGTTATTCAGCCAGTTAAGTTTCTATAAATATTCCAAAATCTGAAATACTTCTGGTTCCAAGCATATTGGGTAAGGGATACTCAACCTAAATGCTCCTTAGAACATTTCAGATTTCAGATTTTCAGATAGGGATATTCAGCCAGTTAAGTTTCTGTAAATATTCCAAAATCTGAAATACTTCTGGTTCCAAGCATATTGGGTAAGGGATACTCAACCCACAATAAATGAAAGATGCCTCGACCCTCTGTCAGTGGGCTGGTCCCCCTCCCTGCTCAGGTTGAAGGATCCGGGAGGGCCACTGAGGCACGTGGGACCCCAGCTCTCTGCAGGTTCTGACCTTCTACTTTGGGGCTCAGGTTCTCAAAACCCAAAATCCAAGAGGACTCAGGCACCTGCCTAAGCAAAGGGACGGGATGGTTGGAGCTCTGTCTCTGTGTGGCAGATATAGGATGGAGATCCATATTTTAAAATATGCCCACCCACCCCACCCCCCATTTCTCAGTCACTTAATTTGCAGGGGGTGAGGATGGCACTGGAGTGATTGGAGAGATGGATTTTTAAATGTTTCTCTCCATTGGAAGAAAAGAGGGTGGGGGGATTGAGGTGGACAAGTGACATCAAGGGAAGATAGGGGGTTCCCAAGAAAATAAGAGAGATAACAGTGGGAGAACAATCCAGAAACATCCAGAGCCGAGCAGCCCTTCCTTCAAGGCAGTGCTGGGCTTCTCTTTTTGGGAGAGCGGGGACCCCTGACAGGTTGGGCACCCTTCATGGGGTGGACCCCCCTCCATGACTGTCCGTCTCCCCGCTTTCCTTCCCTGCACCGCCCCCAGTGCCAGGCCAGCCCATGAACCTGCGGGCAGAGGCCAAGTCAGAGACGAGCATCGGGCTGTCGTGGAGCCCCCCGCGGCAGGAGAGCATCGTCAAGTACGAGCTCCTCTTCCGGGAAGGCGACCACAGCAGGGAGGTGAGGAGGCCCAGCAGGGAGGGGCGGGGACCAGGCTGGCCTCTACCCCCTGCCCCTGCGCTGGCCTTCTCCGGGTGTCCCTCTGAACCTCTGTCCCCGACTGTCTCTCTCCCCCTTCTCCCTGCCCCTACTGATTGCTGATTTTTCCCTTTCACACTCCCTTCTGTTTCTGTGTCCCTCGGTGTCCCTGTCCTTTCTCCCCGCTTGCCTCTCTGCGCACCTTTTTCTCTCTCTTTGCTCTCCTGTGTCTGTCTCTCTCTGTCTCCATCTGTCATTATTGGTGTCACTGTCTCTCTTTATCTCTGTTTGTCTCTGTCTTTGCTGCTGTTGGCCTCTCGGCCTCTGTCTCTGTGTATGTGTCTCTCTCTGACTCTATCTCCCTGTCTCTCTCTGTGTCTCTGCTTATCTCTCTGTCTCTGTCCTTCTGTCTCTCTGTCTCTGACTCTCTGTCCCCTCATCCCTCTTCTCTCCACACCCCCATCCTCCATGCCCCCAGGTGGGGAGGACCTTCGACCCGACGACCAACTTCGTGGTGGACGACCTCAAGCCCAACACGGAGTACGCCTTCCGCCTGGCGGCCCGGTCGCCACAGGGTCTGGGCGCCTTCACCTCGGTGGTGCGGCAGCGCACGCTGCAGTCCAGTAGGTGTCTCGCGGGGCCACCCTTCTCTGCGGGGGGGACCCGTGGCCCGGCCACACACGGCCCCTCCGTGGACTGACCCAGGTGGAGCCTGCCACGGGGGGTGCGGGGCACCTCTGGGCCGGTCCCCACTTTACTCTTTGACCTTGGACATGTCCGCCCATGCTGTGCCTCAGTTTCCCCTCCAGTGCAGTGAGGGTCTCTGTGTCCCTGGGCCTGGTGGTCTGGATCGAGACTCGAGGAGGAGAAGGGGCTGATTTTGCCCCTAGTTCAGGGGGTGTTGCTGAGGCACCTCCTCTCTCCTCCCCTTCTCCTGGATTGGGGGCTGAGGGAACAGCCTTGCTACCCCCATTTCCCAGGAGTTTTGAGGGGTGCAGTGAGGCTGGAGTCGCAGCCAAACCCCATCGTTCTCAGAGAGAGCAAAAGACACAGACAAACCATCTCCCCAGTGGCCCTTCCTTCCCTGGGCAGGGAACCATGGCTCTTAAGAACCCAGGACAAGGTCCCCAATTGCTGAGGGTGGGGGAGGGGCAGGTTCGGTGTCAATGCCAGGTTTTGGGTGGGGAGGGCTTGCAGCCCCAGTTAGGGGCTTTCAGATTCCTGGAGTTCTTTGCTGTGCCCGCCCGGCCTCCCTGCCGCAGACAAGTCACCCTAGACCCGACAGCTGGCTCTGGGCCACACTGTGGCCCCTGCTGCTGCCACCGCCACCCTCTCTGCCTGCTTCAAGCTCGGACCTAGGCAGGACCCTTCTGCTGTCTCCCTGCCTCCCCCACCTCCCTTCACCCCCTCCTCTCCTCTCAGCCTATCCCCAGGTGACCTTCCTGCCAGGGTGGGCTTCCCGCCGTGGTCCCCTCGCACTCCATGCCTCCCCCCC